AGGTTTCACTAGGTAACACATTGGCCTGACTTTATGGTCAAGTATGGGTCAGTTATACATCAACAACTACCACTCTGCTCAGGCATTGGACGCCTTCAGTATTAGTAATCCAAAGGAATTAGGAGGTTCGTTTGTGTAGCCGATACTGTCACCTACCCTCATGAGAGACCACTGAATATTTGCATATTATAACCCATACTGATTACTAGATTTAAGTAGTAATTATTTAGAATTATTACGTCGGACATTTCCGCTGTCCCATTTGTCTCTATGCGAATCGCAACGATCGCGTGACTCGTCGCCTCCACCGAATCTTGTTGTCCTAGGCTACACGGCCCTGTAAAATTCTTTCTAATGGCGGTCTTAAAAGGCTGCTGAGGATCGTGGCGGGCTCCACTGTGTTTGGCACCTGGTCTTCAGACTCGCCAACTCGCAAGCGTTCATTTCCGACACTTCGGTGACCTCTTGACCTTTGCGATTTTCTACTCGTGTGACCGTTATGCCATTGATAAAAACCGTGGTGGACTTCTCCTGACTTGCTTCAAACACTCTCAGTAGCAGGCCATCCTACCTCACATATACTTTACTCCCGGAACGACAGTTTTTCTCCTTAAAATCCCTCCAATGGCATTCGAATTTCCGGAATGGTTTACTGTCTACTCTTTCTGCTCACTTCCACAAACTGGTATCGCCTCTATTTTACAACGTTCCGCTGTACTAATGCAATTCTTAGCTGCTACTTGCAAATAGGGAGTTCAAAGGCATTTGACCATAGTTCCCCCAATAAACATGACCTGACTTGACCGCTCGTGCGAACCTCAAATTTATCAACTTGGGGGGCTACTCCGGCATAATCTGCCTCTATCTGATGGTCTGCGTCCTCCATACAGAGACATAGTGCTTGTCTCTGTCTGGCCCAATTTGCTGGAAAAAAAAGACAAAAGTAGTTTATGTGGTGCACGTCATTTACCCCCTAGTCCCAGCAATTTGTCCTACGTTACGGTGGTTATAGGGTTTTAGGGGATGGAGACATAGGATAGGCAGGGAAGGAAATTTTTAGAAGTAAAAGGAAAGTAGGAAAATGTAGTTCATTATTTCCCGTTGCAGCTGGGAATAAGTTTTTCCGCATGTGGGGATGAGGAAGCTGGTGTGCAAGGTGTGCGTTATCTATCTGTCATATTCCCAAACACAATTGAAAAAATGGTATTAACCGAAAATATTGCATTCAGTGAACCAGAACACATTCTCCCAGCTGATGAGTTTCAATATACAGGTAGAGATAACTGCGCCAACGCCTTGGTCGTTAAAAATGTCTGAAGCCCTTAATTTCACCGAAACCCCGCTTTGGACTCCGTGCCGTAAGGCTAGTCATAGGCAGTGTGGCCAGTATTGTGAAGTTCAGACTAGGATACACAAGGATGGATGGACGCAATTTTTTAGCAGCAGGGTGGTTACAACATGGAATGCCCTTCCTAAAGACCTTGTTCTCTCAACCCATATGCATACATTTAAGAGCAAAGTGGACATGCATAAAATATATCATCAACGCACGCCATACTTCTCCCAGCGGACAGGCCTTTGAATAAAATTATTATTCTACTTAATTTATGTAAGTAGCTATGGATGATTACTCTTTAGTCTAACAGATAGCTGCACACTTTTTACCTGCACGCAGGTAATCGACTTATTTTTTAATTTTAATTTTGTATCAATCGATTTCCTAGCCGCTTCGCTGACAATAGGGAGTTCAAAGGCGCTTATGCTCCCGTTAATTAAACTGAACTGTACTGATGTGAAAGTTTGTGCGCCAAGGCGTTGAACCTTGAAAAATTCGAATGTCTGGACTTCGTCAATTGATCGTGAATGCTATGCCGTGACGTCAGTCATACTCACCACGCTCGGAATTGTGATGTTCAGGCTAGCTTCCTTCCTCGCAAACCTGCCAGGGGTAAAACTTTCCTCATCCTCGTACCCGAATACTGTTTTAGAGTCCAAACTCGGCAGCGCTGTGTTCTCCAGCCAGAACTTTGACTTTATCTGCTTTCTTGAAATCAATAGGTTTGAGTCCTCGATGAGCTTTAGTTTTGCGCCGCAGTTCACCATGAGGCTATAATAAGAAGAAAAGGGTGCAGACCATTTAAAATGTTCACCAGCATCTGCCAAGAAGTCAGACAAGCGTTGTTTCGGCTTGGTTGCGGACGTCGATGAGGACATTTTAGTCTCCAAATTCGTGAAAAATAGTTTTACCATTGGATACATAATTAAGCTGGCGGACCAATAAGGACCTACCTTTTCATGCCCGTTTGTTCGTACGCAGCAGTGCTAAAATGTGCAAAAAAGGCATCAGTATAAAAGGTATAATGCACTGGTAGTTAAATTCTTAATTCTTTGACCCGTAGGAGCAAACTGATTGATCAAAAACTCAAAGGAGCATTTTTATCCCGCTCAGTGTCTAGTGCATTAATGTTTAGTTCTGAGTCCCGCAACATGACCGGCAACAGAGGTAACAGTATTAATAATAGTATCGATAGCAATAACAACGTAATTTATAGTATTAGTAATCGTAGCAGCAATAGTAGGTATTGTTTATGATGGCCTCCACCATGCCGTCAACCATGGGCATCCCAATTATGTCGATGATGATGAGGAGGAGGACAGGATGACTGTGAGGGTGGACGTAGATGGGTTGACCTGCGCATAAATCCCTTTAAAAGGATAGGAGATTTTTGAAGCATCTTTTAGCTCCCTCATCAGCCTGAACCCGATGCCATGGCAGACCGGAGGCGGGATCCAGTGTAGGTGGCTGACGAAACTAAAGAGTTAACCTGCGCACATTACACAATCGCCATCTTACCCCCATGGGAAATGCGCCAAAAGTCTGCCTCAACGTAGACTCGAGAGGCGTAAATTCCGTGTCCTTGGATAATGATATTGGGACCAGTTCCGTGGGGAGTGCGTCTGTCCCATCCCACCTCAGGCGACCGATCACCTGGGCGGTGGCTCCCAGACGGGAGCCTACATAGCGAGGTGTGCTGTTAGTATGTGTGTTGAGTGTTGGTCGCGTCAGCCGCCTACGCCCTCCCCTCTTCGGTGTTCTTGACTTTTGTCTTGACCTCGGGTCCGGTGTGGGATTTGTGAGAGAGTGGGGTAAATTATCCGCAAGTCTACTTTCAATATAATCCAGCCGAAGTCATCGCGTTTGCTTTCAACTCCCTGAAGCTCGTAGTGGACGTCGTCAAAA